GCTGATGCCTCCGCCTTGCCCACCATATTCTCTGCCACACATGTGTAGGAGCCCACGTCAGCAGAGACCAGACGACGGATCTTCAGGGTGTGGTCCTCGCGAATTTCATACCTAGATTAAAACAGGTACTCATATATCACATGTTGTCAAAGACACAAAAACAGTTGCAGACAAAGACAAAAGCGAGGGTGGATCAAACAAAGACGGGGAGTGTGTGACTTAGGCAGGTATTGTGGGATGAAAGGGGACCAGTTGATGAGTCAGACCTTCCTTTCGGCAGGTCGCCATCATCTTTCCTCCAGCGGACAGTGGGAACTGGATCGCCACGGGCCTCACACCTGAACTCTACGCTTTGGTCCACTAACACCACCTGGCTACTCGGGCGACGGACAAAGCTGGGACGCTCTGCAGAGATGAAAAAGAGCACGTAAATGAACACACAGCAGTCCTTCAATCATGTTTTTTTAATAGAGCTGAAGCTTTGATTCCATAAAAAAAACAAAAAACAAATCTCAGATCTGTCTCAGTTCCGTCCAAATAAAAAAAAAACTAAAAATAAATCACAGTGGAGAAAGTTTAAAAAAAGAAAAAGAAAAGAAAAGGCAAAAACAGTCGTTTTGTATTTATTTAAACCAAGGTGTCAGTGTTCATGCTAATATAATCTCTCATTATTATTCAGTTTCTAGTACGTGTCAGTTCAGTAAATGAGTTTTCTGATTTGCCTTCCTCTGCTGTTCACCATTTTCTCTCTTTTTAGTGCAACTTCCCTTTACTTTGCCCTACTTTGTGGTGTAGGTTCTCTGGTAAAGATTCAATGAGCTTAGACTTTTGAAAGTCAAATTGCTCGGGAAATCAATTTAGAGCACCTGCATGTGCCCAAATATTGATGTTTGGTGCTAGAGTATTTTTATTTGTAAATCCATCATAGATCCAAGCTATAGCAATATTTGAATCCCACCCCAACAAAGATAGACACCTATAAGACAAAATCCAGATGATATATACCACTCTCGGTCCGACTCTCTCTGTTCAACAAGTCACAAAAGTTTAAAAACAAAATAATATTACTAATTTATAATATTGTCATAAAGAGGTTGTAGAAAAATCAGAAATTCACATCTCTTAGTCTTAACACATTCCATCAGATGGGACATGGTGAATGGACTGGTTCTTATCTAGTGCTCTTCTACTGGAGCAGGCGATGCACTTTTTATATAGGTCTCATTCAGCTTCTATCTAACATTCACATACACACCCGATCAATGCATTTGAGTAACTCTGGGTTCATTATCCTGCCCAAGGATACTTTGGCAAGCAGACTGGAACATCCAGGGATGAAACCACCAACATTCCAATTAGTAGATGACCTGCTGTACCTCCTGAACCACAGCCACATACCATGGTTAGTTGTTGTTGTTTTTTTTCTTTATTTAGAAAGAGGGGCAAAAGGGCTTGACAAAAGGTTTCTGGGGAAAGGAAATAAAGGAAGTGAAGGAGATGATGCTAAAAATCAGGAATCTGGACATGTTCTGTGCTTAGGCCAGAGAGAATCAGGGTCAGAGGTCAGTTACGGTGAAACAAGATGCAGCTGGTTTGCAGGGAAGCTGCAGAGAACAGCCTGAGATTCATAATGAAGTGTGAGATTGGAGGTAATCTCACACTTCATCTGATAAAGGTCAGTGACACCATTTAGTAACCTGGGAGGGAGACGATCATAGCTTAACATCTGGACCTTTGTTTTTATTCTGCAGGCCAAAAAAAAGAAAAAAGTGTGTGGCTGTTGCATGTTTTGGGGGGTAGCATTAGAAGCAGAAAAAAAGATAAAAATCTGAGGTACATACCAAGCACTGTAAGTTCAGCTATTTCGCTTTCACGTTCTCCAACCATATTTGTGCCGACGCACACATACTTCCCAGCATCGCTTTTCCGGGCATTTGTAATCATCAATTTCCCTCCACGTATCTGTGAAAGCAGAAGAGAAGGTGATAGGCTTTGTATGGAGAGAAAAATGGCAATATTAGTTTGAGAGACACTTGGGACTTGTTGTTGACACACAGAAAACAGCAAAGCCCAAACATTAGGAAACATTTCCTGATTGCACTCAAGAATTCCAGCGAGCATTTATGGACCAAAAGCCCATTACAACACCGTGATAAAATGCACTCACAAACATATAATGGCTTGATGGGAAAGAGGCTTTTCACTGGGTTTTTGCTTTGAGCTTACGGAGAGTCTACTTGACTCTAAGCCACTATCAGCTGGCCTGTTTCTCCTCAGGGTACGCCAAGCTAAAGAATACTTTTCAAATCCAGCAGAACCACAGCTCACTGAGGTAACACCTCACCTCATTTTTTATTATTTTTTATGTATGTGCATACAACTACAAGTGAGAGCAAGTGGACGTTCATTCAAGCACACATGAACTACATACACGTATACACACCCACACACAGAGGAGAAAATGTGTGTTTGTCCAGGTGAATGTCATGTCTGTTATTTCCCAGGGCTTTGATTACAGGCCAGAGGAGATGCTTTGTTCTCAGGCAGTCGGAAAAGCAGTCCTGGTCCCAGCACAGGCCCCTCAGCCCTTCTCTCTGCTGACAACCATGCCAGTCAGCAGAGATGCACACAATAGCACGGTGCACGGTGATCTCTGTGCCCTGATAAAGCTTAAGGTTTTAAATGCACACATCAGCCTGCAAGACCAGGACCACCCTCTGCAAGCATGTAATGGATAGCTTCATTAGGGAACACCTGACAGAGAACTTGACACACAATATTGCAACAATCTGCTTCAGCCATGACCACCGTGTTAAGCCTGGTTACACATGTAGTCACATGCGTGCTAGGGCATCTCATCTATACCTCAAACAGCGTGTTTTCATCTTTTTCTGTAAAGTAGTTGCAATAAGTTTAACTTTCTTGAAGGACAACTTTGGACAGCAGACACATTCTTCTGGTTCTGCGGCATTCCTCGGCCCTTCACCCCTGATTAATATTCATGGTAAAGCAGGAGGCAGAGGGACTTGAAGAGGCTTGGAAGCCTGGCTTATTTAGGGCACCCTGTGGTGCTGGAGGGGTTTGAAGTATCATTATGTTACTGTTTGTTTGAGGAAAGGCTTAACAGCTAAAACACTGTGACACTCACAAAGGCCCAAGGTCAGGGCAGACCATGCAGCAGAGAAAGAGGGGGTGTACTGTTGGTTCCACAGGGCTTTGACATGAGGAACCACTTAAGGCCCCTGTTCCCTCTATCCATATCCTTACCTCTGTGAGTCTGTGGCAGTTTCCCATTCTCTGCAGGCATATTTGGAGTGCCAGAGCAGCAGGGACTCTGAGAGCTGGCTAAAGTAAATGAATGTAGCAGCGGTCCTCTTTTTTTCCTGCATGCATATCCTCTCAACACAACACAGTGCAGCACACTGGCTGCTGAAAGCCCCAACAATCTGACCATTATCCCTGCAGTAGAGGGAGATGGCACTATCCTGTTGCCTTTTGTCTCATGTCATTTGGCAATGCTGATAATGCAAAAGCCCCCCATTCAGCACCAACTCTGTTGGTATTCACACAGCAGTTCATTTTCCAGGCCGATAATTAGCCACAACTACAGCACAAAACGAGAAGGACAATGTGCTGCATTTTGGCCATTTATGTTGCTGCCGGCAGACTCTCTCTCTAACGAGACAATGGTCTAGGCTTAAATACTGGCATATTCTCTTTTTCTATTTAGTTGTCCCTCCCTTATTGTTCCTGGAAGACCATTTAGACAGAGTTGAGAGGGATGTGGCCAGCTGCTGCTAGTGGCACAGCAGCAGGGCAACTTACTTTTTATGGCTGTGGGAAACCTTTCGCATGAAGTCATGAATATATGTGAAATGGCGCACAAAGTAGGGACGTATACAATATCAGGCAGGTGGTTTTAATGCCGTGCTGGATCCATGTGTGTCACGGCACGCAGTGTGCAGTAGGTGTTTACGTATAGCTGGCTAAAATAGATAGCACAGAAGAATTCCGTGCGCTCTCTCTTCCTTTCTGGAGTTCATTCCCTCCTTTTTAAGCTATATCCAGTAAATCCAAGCCATCCCAAACCCAGTATAAAGTGCAGTGCAGAGAGAAAATCCCCACTGCAGGTGGTTTGGGACCTTGCTCTGATCAACAGTGATCACCAAGGAGACTGCACGTTTAAGCATGCTGCATGGTGGGAGAAGTGGATTGAAACAAACATAACAATGCAGACTAGATGGGGTGGGGTTTGACGAGCTCAGCTGTTCATTACATTAAAAAGACCTCTGCTTCTCCCTCTATGGTCATTCATTGCAACCAAATTTACTATACCATAAACAAGCTTGCCGTACGATTTTTCTATTTCTAATACAACTTGATCTGTTAACATCTGTCACCACAGTTGATTACACATATTCCGATTGCCATTTATGACGTCTGGCGCTACTTTTAAAGTGGTCATTTGGGAACACTCAATCTGTACGGTTTTGTACTTGACAGGAAGTTTACAGTGAGCAACACCAGCTGGTCCAGACTGTTTTTAGTTCCTCAGAAGGCCCAACATTGCTCCAAGCTACAAGGACACAACTGAGTCATTAAGCAGTAGGATTGAAAACGTTTACTCAGAGAATTTCATCCAACAGCGGACAAAACCTCATATACTGCAGTAAGAATAAGTCATAGCTTCCACTATTCTGGGTGTAAAATCAGTATTATTGCAGAAACGGGAACAGTTTATCCGTGTTGTTCTTAAATAGGCACAAACATGATTAGGTGGAAGAACGTGTGTGTGAGGCATGCATGACACGGAGATGAAACAGGACTGCTTTATCTTCAAAGTATGAGGTAGTCCAGTAGATAATAACCAAAACTGAAAGGGTAAAGGATGACAGAGATTAACATTCCTTTTATTTTACAGAAGCTCAAATGTTGAACATGAATAGTTTTGATGTCAGTTTAAGGAGAGAACACTATCTGTGATGCAACAGCGGGCAAAGATAGCTGCTGTGCATACAATGGCCAGATATGCAGTATAGTAAATACGACACTAAATTCCTCCAGTCAACAAGGTCGACTGCGTTGTGAATTTTTCGTGCTCCTCAATGACAACTGACTAAACTCAGAGACAGATATGATTTAATTCTCTTTAAACCAGATTATGCGCTTGTTTCTTTCAATTATGCTGTGCAGCGTGCAGACTTCCTGAATGTGCAGCTTAGGAAAAAAAACTGAGAAAGAACAGCTACACTGTTAAAGAGCTTGGGACTCAATATATCCAACCTCAACTCACCCTCGCTGTGCAAAACTGTGTTCAGTCATGAACGGCTCTCCGCTAAAGATAGCCAGCAGTGATAAATCACAATTCTGACCTGCC